CTTTGGGAAACGTTGAGAATGCTCAGTGAGACAGTGGCTTAGGAAAAGCATGAATGCATTTAGAACCTTCCCCGTGAGTGATGTGCTTACTATCCGTGACGCATGGAAGACGTGGGAACACCTTGTGCTACATTTTAGTTACGTGGCTGATGAGCCTGGTGGTCTTGCCCTGGCCAGTTGACAACTCTGATTCTCAATTTTTGCCTGTGAAATATGCAGTTTCTTTCCTGTCTTTCGCTGATAGGTTAATATAGGCCTGAGTGAGTGGAACTTTTCATCTTTTATTAAAAATAAGTACTTATTGAGCTCTCCCTCCCTGTCAGGTTCTAGGCTAAGGCCATCGCCTACAAGTAATCACCCCATGAAATAGGTACCACCCTGAAAAGGAGGGCATGGAGGCTTTGAGAATCCAGTCAGCTGATCCAAACCAGCAGACAGCACAGTGAGCATTTGCACTGGTGTCTACACAAGTCCCCAGTCAGCAAAGTTAATCACTGTGCTGTGCCCCTGAGAGGTTTGGCACCTAAGAGGGGTTTTAATCAGTTTTCATTTGGGCCATGTTTCACTTTCTTCGGGGCTGTTTTTCTGTTCTGTCAACTATACTCGGCCTTTTCCAAAGCGCGAGAAGTTGAAAGCGCTTTTGGGGTACCATGCGCTTCATTCTCTACATAGTCCCAGTCGCTCACTGCTTGGTTCTTGGTTCTTCACAATGTTCCTTCCATACTTTATGTAAAGTTAGCAGAAGTGAAGCTTCCGATTAAAAATGGTTTGAAAAATCTGTCCAGTTTAAAAAAAAAAACAAAACAGCAGAAACCTTGGTTTAGGGTTTAAATTCTAGTTCAGCTTCTGGAATGTATTAGGTTATGGAGGCAAACGATGCTTCTTTGCCACATTGTTATTGTAACGTTAAAGATCCGATATGGGAAAGTCATTTCGGTCCCAGCAGCACAGTTTCTGTGTTAGCATTCGTAGCAGCTGGGGTGGATTATTGGAACTAGGATGCAGCAGAATGATTTGGGCTGTTTGGCATTGTGAAGATCTGCCTAAGATAATTATAACTGGCTGGGCTTGAGCATGATCCTGAACTGGGCTGCAGCTGGTGGCTGGCATCCCAGTGCTATCTGAAGTATCTTGTAGCAACAGTGATTCTTAAATTACTACAGTGTCTCTACTGAGTAAGCAAAGACATGGGAATGCTTTAGTGATGTGTGTTGTGTGGGAAGAAAAGAATGAGGAAGACAGCTGAATTCTGCAAGGCAGTGGACTTTGTGGAGAAGAGGAACGAAAGGCAGGAAAATTAGGCTCATGAGACCCTTCAGAAACACCCTGAGGATGGAATTCTGGGTAAGCGATGCCTTAACAGGCTCAGCTGCTAAGTGTGTCTAGTCATTTTGCCAAATTAAAATGCCATGTTCTTGAACTAGGCCAGAGGTTCCAGTGAGCTCTGCTGTCTCTGCAACAGTGAGCTAGGGTGGGGATCTCTTGAGAGATCATCTCTAGATGTCTCCAAGTCCAGACTTGTTTCTGTGCATTGGAGGATGGGGGAGAGGGGGTGATGGGAGAGTGAAGGTTTTAAACGCACTCATGCCTTTCCTAAGCCATTGTCTCACTGAGCATCCTCAGTGTCTCCCAAAGTGTTCATTAAGGTGCCACAATGACACATACCACAGTCAACATCTCTTCTGTGTTCACCTCGGGTTCTTTTGTTTTTAAACTCTGAGACGCGACTATGTAGCCCAGCTTTGCTGTGGTGGTTGCAGCCTTTCCTAATGTCTATTGAAATAAGTACGTGAAATTGGTCTACAACATACTTGCTTAGGGTCCACTTTAAATGCTCTTGGAAAGCGCGCCTTTCTTTCAAAGTGTTCACACAGGGTGGCTAGGGTGGACCGCTGATGGAAAAATCCAAGGACTGGAAATGGGATTTTGTCTGCTAGAATTTGCTAGACATTTACAGCTGATGAATGGGAACCAGGTGTCCTGTAGGTTAAAGCAAGTTGGAGGCAGACTTCTGTTTCATTTTGTTTTAAAACATCACATTTAGGTTACTAAAGTTTCTAGACCTGGGTGTTTTCTCCTATTACTTTCCTGGAGAACTAACTTTCTTTCTTTCTTTCTTTCTTTCTTTCTTTCTTTCTTTCTTTCTTTCTTTCTTTCTTTCTTTCTTTCTTCTTTTTTTCTTTTCTTTCTGTCTCTCTGTCTCTGTCTCTCTCTCTCTCTTTCTTTCTGGAAAGTTTTAAACTTGCCTTGGCTTCATATAAGGAAGAACAGGATTTCTGCTTGCTCATTTTAGTGGTGAGACTTTACCAACTCCCAAGCTGGAATTTAGTTCTGAGGTGGCGTCTGAATATTCAGGCGCCAGATTCAGTGCTTAGCTCCACATGTGCAGAGAGCATTCCCCGCTTCTGGGAAACTAGATGTGTAGACAGCTGAACCCGGCTAGCCGTGTTCATTTGTGCCAGCCTAGGAGTAGCTGTGGGTAGGTAAAGGAAGGTCTTGTTAGCTGGGAGAATGGTGGGAACACGGCACATTGTGTGAGACATTAGGAAGGCAACGTGTAATTTGTGGCCGGTAAATGCCAGGCCCTTGCTCCTTAGCCCATCCGCTGATGTGTTTTGTGCAGATGTCTGTGGGTTCTGCACTGGCCTGAGTGATTTCCCCAGCAAGGTTTAAAGGGTAGCAAATCCCAGCCTTTCTACTCTTCTGCCCTCTGATGAATGAGGAGAAGTACCTGAGGAAGCTTCCAAAATAGTTAGCAGAAGGAGATAGCATCCAGGGTCTTGATTGGGCTCTGTCTGTTTCTGGAACCTCTTTTATTGTTTGGGCAGATGCAGACAAGTCTGGTATAGCCGGAGGCATTGCAGCAAAAGTGGCTGGGGTCAGAGGATGAGTTTGGTTGAGTAGGATATGTCCACCCACCGTCTTTCAGGACTCTAGGATAAACAGCCTCTGCTATCTCAGTGAACTGCCTGGATAGGTTAAGTAGTATGTGGTGTGCAATGGGGAAGAGGAAACAGCAAATAAAACCGACCAGGCTTTGTCATGTTGGGGGAATGTTTGTACCAAAACTTGAGATGGAAAAATTCTGGTCTCTACATAATCTTCTTTCCCACTCCCGAGTAGCCTGAGTCACCCCATTCCTGTTGTGCCATGTTCTGAAAAACCCAGCCTTTGAGAGACTCGGAACTGTGTGCATATGAGGCCAATTAAAAAAGAGCTTCCAACCTGTCCTCACCCGGGATGCCTGGTTTCCCCACTGTGCTAATTGCACTGATGACAACATCCTGTCTTGATTTTGAAGGTTCATACACACACGTGCTTAAAAAAAAAATGCTAGCAGTATTGTTCTCCTGAGGGAAGCAAAAGGCAATCAATCCCCTGGTGGGGGTAGGGGAATGGGATGAGCATTCCTTTACTCCAGCCACTTCTGCGCTGCCAGAGACTACACCCTCCTCTGTGTAACCACAGAAGACTGTTTCTTTTGGCTGGGTCTTCTGACCTTGAAGGATCTAGCCAGCCGCCTCAAAGCGTTGGGTGCTAGACATAATACTGCCAGAGCCCAGGAGTCACTTCTCTTTTATAGTTCTGATTTAGTATGACTATATTAATATTTTCTTATTCATCAGAAATTCTGCTCTTGAACTTAAAACGCATCACCAAACCCCTGCCATTACGTTTTCTCATATATGTATTTATATTTCTAAGAACACTAAAGAATAAAAACTACCAAAAGAAGAAAGCCACAAGCGATGCCATGCTCTGCTCCGTGGGAGATGGAGCAAGTTGAGAATGTGGATTGGATTTGGTATCACATTTTTATTTTTCTCTCATTCGTCTGGGATGAGGCCATTTTTTCTTGGAAAAAAAACATCACTTGGGTTCACCATCAGCTTTTCCTTTTAATAATTGAAAACCACTGTTCATTATTTACGTAAAACTTTTTTTTTTCTGGCCTGCTTTCTCTAACCTTTCCCCTCATAAGAATTTTAGGAATTCCCTGACTTTTTCTCTGAGGGATTTTATGCCTGCTTTATCCCAGATGTGGGTCGTAGACAATGCTGAGGGTGTGTGAGTGTGTGTCTTTTTTCCTTTGTGTATGTGTGTGCTTCTGTTTGAAGGTTGTTCTTTTTGCTAGTGCACAAATATGCCACCTGGGTGGGGGGGGAGAAAGCGCAATAAAGAACACCTAGATAAGGAAATATGTGAGCCTGTTTCAATGATCTAACTTCCTGAGTGGCACCAAAATCCTATATGCAAAATGAAAACCATCCAGAGGTTGGAAATAATGAGGGAAAGAGCATCCACTAGTCATCCAGTCTTTCCACACCGAGATTTTCTTCTCTGAAGGAAGGCATGCCAACTTCCCAGTCCCAGAGCCCTGAGTCTGGACTTCGGGGAAGCTGACGTCAGCCCAGGGAGCTGTTGGCAGATTCTTCTGTCTTCTCTAGCTCACCTTCTGCCGCCACAAAGAGATGGTCAGTCTTGCTCCAACCTTTTTGTCCACACAGGCTCCCACAGAAATGCTGATCCCAATGCCTGGATCGGACTGTAAAATGGAAAGATGAGGGACATCATTGTGGCGAAGGAGGCTGGATTAAGAAACACAGGATTTTCCCCATTTCTCAATGCCCTCTCAGATTTCCAGAAGACAGATGGTTTACCACAGCCTTTTGGTTATGTGGTTTATGTATTAATGTCTAAAATACCATAAAAATCTCAACCTTTCTTCCTGATAATTTATGAGAAAAACATCGTATTTTTCCCTTCCCCATAAGTCCATAGTTGTGTTTTCTTGATGAATTCCATCTGCTAGAGTGTGCTTATGTCTATAAAATCATACCTCGCTGGGTTCGAGCAAGTTTCTCCCTAATTTAACTTTTTGCCGCATGTTAAAAATTCATAAGATTACTTTCCCAATGTTTAGAGGAAGTTAGATAGCTGTCTGCTGTGCACTTCCACCAGGCGTGACTGACATACTCTATCCTGTGTGTCTCCCGTAGGATCGTTCGAAGATGGTTTGGCTGCCTTGGAGCTTTGGAGATCTGATGTCACAATGAGGACTCACACACGGGGTGCCCCCAGTGTGTTTTTCATATATTTGCTTTGCTTTGTGTCAGCCTACATTACCGACGAGAACCCGGAAGTTATGATTCCCTTCACCAATGCCAACTACGACAGCCACCCGATGTTGTACTTTTCCAGGAGAGAGGTGGCGGAGCTCCAGCTAAGGGCTGCCAGTTCCCATGAGCACATCGCCGCTCGGCTCACGGAGGCTGTGCACACCATGCTGTCTAACCCCCTGGAATACCTCCCTCCCTGGGATCACAAGGAGTACAGTGCTCGCTGGAATGAGATCTACGGGAATAACCTGGGTGCCTTGGCAATGTTCTGCGTGCTGTATCCTGAGAACATTGAAGCCCGGGACATGGCCAAAGACTACATGGAAAGGATGGCAGCGCAGCCTAGTTGGTAGATTTTTGTCTTTTCCTTCTTACTGTGTTAACCTTGTCGCTTAAAGGAATGATCCAAGTGGTAAGGATCTAGTTCTCGTGGTAGGATGACTGCCTAGCATGCGTGTGTATGAAGTCCTGGGGTTGGTCCTGCCACCCAAAAGGTAGGGGTGGTGTTACATGCTCCTAAATCCAACAGAAGAGATGGAGATAGAGGAGTGGAAAGTCAAGGGCATCTTTAGCTATATAGTGAATATGAGGCTGCTCTTTTGGTACTTGAGCTTCTGTCTCAATTTAAGGAAGGAAGGAAGGAAGGAAGGAAGGAAGGAAGGAAGGAAGGAAGGAAGGAAGGAAGGAAGGAAGGATATCTAACAGTTTCAAAAGACCTAACATGTTTCAATTTAGAAGGAGCATATTGAAAGGCAGCTTAGCCAAAGGTGTGCTGGGGGTGGTGGTGGGGGGGTGGTGGTGCAGAATTGAGCTACCATGTTACTAGCTGAGAGTTTTTTCTGCATTGTTTAACATACATTTACAGTTACGGATGGAGACGTCTTCTGAGGAATGTATCACTAAGTGATTTTTGACCTTGCGTGGCTAACATATATACCTAGGTGTCATTTATATAGGATGTAGCTTATTGCTTCTAGGGCCAGGATGAGCAAATAGTGTAAAATGAATTCAAGCGCAAGATATATGTTAAACCTAGGAGGCTGCTGCCTGCATAACACAGCATACATGTCCATGGCTAGTTTTCTATGTAAGTGGAAAAAGTACCCTCTAAAATAACAATGAATCATATTTCATAAACCCATAAGTCAGTATCATAGTTGCTTATCGGACATTGTGCCCTATAGACAGTTATATGTGGTAACTTTCTTATGATTGACAGTGACGTAGGATTCTTTACACCAGCAGCCCCGTGAACATGTGAGCAAAGAGCACTTTGTGCTGATGTTAGGGTGGCTACAGGGTCACTAGGCTCATGGACTTTTCAACTTGGTTGTGACCCTGCGCATGCTCTTTCTTGGAGCAGAACACCGCTTACATGGTACATGACTGTTTCTTATTGTTTGCTGTTGGGCTTTTGATTGACGCCTCAAATTGACTGAAATGTTTTGTCCATAAGGCCTTTCAGACAATTAGCATTTATGTGCACTTTATGGTAATAAGGACATAAAAGTCATTGTGATGGGATTGACTGGCAATTTATGAACAAGATTCTATTTAAGAATCAGCAGAGGGCCCAACCCTGTGGGAGAGCGAGTGCTACAGTACACACGTGTGAAGAAATCTGCTTATCTCATGGTTTACTTTTCAGGAGTTTAAGATTCAAGAGCCAACTTCCCGTTTCCTTTTGGTTACTTAAATTTGTTTATAATTCATGTTTCTATCTATCTGCTTTTTAAAAGATGAGGTTTGAGTTGACTAAACTCAGGATTCCGTAGGTATTTTTTTCCCAAAATCTAGCTTAATACACATTCACAGCTCAGTTGCTAAAAATGCTTTCAAATTGTATGAAACATGGTCCTAAAACTATGTGAGCTGCCACTTGTCGTAGGCTTAGGGACATCTGTAGCAGTGCCGTGGGTGAGTGTATCTTACATGAAACACATCTTGGTGTGACAGAAGAGGAGTAGCAATGTGCAGCCCTATGATAACTGTCTGACGTCTCGTAGTAGACAGAACTATGGAAGAACAGCGGTCTCGTAATTTGTAAAATTATGTAGTTATTCTATAAATACATGTGGTCATTCTGAAGCTTATGATATATGGACCAAGCGTTTTGATGTGACTAGTCCCAAACATAGACCTTAGCTGTGTGTGTCATGTGTTCTGACTTAGAGTCACCCGCATCAGCCTGCATTCCAGTTCTGACACCAAGAAAGAAAATGAAGCATGTATGAGAACTCACCTGATAATCTGAGCAACAGGATGACGTTATCAAATGCGACAGTAACTTAATGTTATACTAGGTAGAATAAAAAGCAATCCCTTTTTGTCTCTGTTTGCTCTATTATAGCCTTAGTGTTTTCCATAGATGCTGGTGCTTGTGAAATGCCCCAGAAGAACAGTTACTGTAAAAAGCCTGTTTCATCACACAACAGACTAAGAGATTAAAAAATGTCTTTGTGTTGAAATTTTTAAACAAAAATATAACAGTGTTAGTAAAATTGTACAAGGCCAGTACAATTTCATAGTATATATATATATATATATATATATATATATATATCTGGGAGTATGTATTTAATGAATGGACACTGTCACTAGGATTAAATACCTTCTCTGACAAAAGAAGGAAAATAAATAATTTCAAGTACAAATTTTAGCATTCACATAGTCTCTGCAAGTACAGATTTACTGATCGGCAGAGTTGGGAAGAGATCTCCTAACTAACTGTGCTGTTACCCGGTGACCAAAGCCAGGCTGTCACTTAGTAGGACTGCTTTCTCTTGGTCAGGCTAAGCTGGGGTTAGAAATTGAAAGTGAGCCTTGATATCTGGGTTTTAGTTCTAGATAACTGATCCCTTTCTTGTGATTTTTAATGCTCTTATAGAAATGTTGGCTACTTACAAATAGCCGCATTCAAACCTAGACTCTTACACATTCATTTAGGTGTGTGGTTGAACATCATCATTTTATGCAAGTTAAAACATGACTAAATATTTTTATATTCCAGTTACCTTTCCTTAAATTGCTCTGATTAATCCTATTCTTCATTATATACAAAAAGTATACTGTGAGAGTTGTCATTGTCTTAGTTCGGATATAGTGTGCACCTATGCATTTCAGAAAAACAAAGACTGGCTGTATTTAAAAATCAATAATAAATATCACAGAATTAAAAATCCCTATGATGGGATATTTTTTCATTTTCCTTAAAGAACATTTCTTTTGAAAACTGATAATATGATAATATTTTTCATTTTCCTTAAAGAACATTTCTTTTGAAAACTGACTAAATTATATTTTTTTTTCACTGACACTTTGAGCATCTACTGGGCCCGTGATGTGGATGCAGGGTTGAAGAAATGGCCCAGCAGTTTTTCAGTTTGTTCCTGGGACGAGGAATCTTACAGTGGGTGCTTCTGAGCATGCGGATAATGCAGTAAGGTTTTCACTCATGACTTATGGGAGCAGCAGGGCAAAGGGGACAACTCTGGAGTCATTCTGCCCACATCCTGAGCTCTGTATCGCTTCAGATAAACTTCTCAGTTTGAGCCTTAGCAACTCTGGCATGTAACATTACAGCAGTAGCGTGTCTACTGCACAGGGTCATTAGTAGGATTAAGTGAGGCAGCCAGTACATAGTCCTCTGAAAGTTCTTGTCATGTAATAAGGCTGGAAGAATAATGACAGCTGGTGCTAATTATTGCCTCTGCTGTTTTCACCTAGGACGTAGGCCCTGGTTGGTGTATAATAGTTATTTATAGGTTTTTAAGAAGGAAATAGGGTTTTTTTGTTGTTATTGTTCAGAGATTTTTATCGCCTTTATTCAAATTGTTCTCCATTTGCCTTTGACAATGCTCCTTTAAAACAGGCAGCATTTGACCTCTGGGATCCTTTGTGTGTGCAAGAGCCTAGTGCTAAGGCTGTGATGGAGGACTTGAGGGAAAGTAATAAGGAGGTGTCTTTGGTTCGGTGTTAAAGCTGTGGTACTTTCCTCACTGTGTGATGAAATGCCTGGCAAGAGACAATGTGAAGGAAGAGTTTACTTTGACTCATAGTCTGAGGATACAGCTCATCATGATGAGGAAGTCAGGAAAGCAGCATCTGGTCACGGATGATGGGTGCCCATGGTCAGCTAGCCTCTTCCCTTGTATGCAATCTTGAACCTTCGCCCAGAATGGTGCCACTACTTTTAAGGTGTAGGTCTTCCCATGTCAGCGGACCTAATCAAAAGAATCCCTCACAAGCGGTCCAGAGGCTCATCTCGTTGAGCCTGTTAAACTGACAACAAGAACTGTCATATTTATTGAATCCATTGTATGTTAGTAAAGAGATTTAAAGGTTCACATCCATAGAGTGACTTTAGAATTTCAGCCATGGTGGCACTCACCTTTAGTCCTAGCACTTGGAAGGCAGATTTGGACAGATGTGAATCTAAGGCCAACCTGGTCTACAGAGCAAGTTCCAGAGCAGCCAGGGCTACACAGAGAAAACCTGTCTCAAAATAACAGCAGCAACAACAACAGTAAACAAGAATTCGGTCTCTGCAGCCACTGTGAAAAAAAAGTTAAATTGAAAATGTGATGTAGCTGTAATGTTTTTACCACCTAAACCATGGAAAGGGAATCTGAAAGACTGTCGATGGCAGGGTGGTTGAGAAATGTGTATAATTCTATGGGTCTCTACACCTGGGCACCACAGGAAGACGTGCTTGCTTGTGTGTTCTCTCTGCCTGTGTGTAGGCAACCACATCCTTCCCAGGAAGTCTTTCCTGTTTTTTTGGTTTTGTTAATGCCAAGGTTGTGTGTATCTTACTTAGTAAACTTGATTAATTAAAATAACTTATTTCAAGCCTTTGAGATGGCTCAGAGGTCAATGCGTTTTCGCCAAGTCCGATGACCTAAACTCTGAAATCCACATGGTGGAAGGAGAGAATTGATTCTCACAAGTTGTCCTGGACCTCCACATGTATGCCAAGGCACGGACATACATGAACACACGCAAATTTAAACAAAATATGATTTAAGAACCATAGAAATACTATACATGAAATAATTTTTTTCCATCAAGAATTTAAATTCAAGCCAAAAAATAATACTTTTAAAAAAGTGTTTCATAGAAATTTTACATGGATTTCCATAAAGATCAATTCAGAGAGACTTTAGGATTAGCACATATTACTCTTTCTTAAAAGTTCCTTAATGTATGTGCGTTTTTGTTTGTTTATTTGTGCTCGCCTGTGCTGTGCCTTCACCTCTACAACTTTTTTTGCCCAAATTAAGGAAACATAATACAAGACTCCAACTGAAGGTAGCTGAGGGAGATGACAGTGAAGAGCTGGGAAACGGA